TACTTCGCAAGGCTTTCGACGCATATCTTTTCACGCACTGTGTTTTCATCAACAACGTTAATTTGCTTTAAAGTTTAGCCTTGGGTGAGCAATTTTGAAAAGCTGAGCTCTGATAATGGCTGCTCCTGGGGACTAAAAAAACTACATAAAGTCTTTTTTGACTTGTATTTACCTGGTTGCCTGATCTTTGCCTTCCCTACCCACCCTCGATACAGAGTTGAGTTTGATTATGATGCCAGTGCTTTTAGTCCTCGTTTGGCAGGTGGTGAGGTTTGTAAGGAAAGGCGGGGGGAGGGGGGGGAGGGGAACAATTAGAAGGAGTTTTATCGCCAGCCACAAACTTTTTTTTCTCCACTGATTATGAATTTTTCAGTTGCAAGTAGTTTATATCTGCGTGAGACTTTTTCGGTCGTGTGGATGTTACAGCTGTAAATAAGGATTTATGTTGGTTGGTACTTACAGTCCGCTGAGCCAACGAAGCTCTCTGAAAACTCCTGAGGGTAAGTCCTTTAACTGATTATGGGATAAGTCCCTGTGAACAAGAAATCATCACATCAAATATTAGAACTACGTTGTTAGATAAAGCTTATAACTTCATATGACTCCTACCGAAAGAAGGTCTCGTTTTATTACGTTTCAAGCGCCCCTCGAATAAATTACCGCCCCCCTCTCCCCTCCTTCCTCACTGTCTCAGATACCAAGAAAACCTGTTTCTATTGCCACTTTATCTATAACTCTTTAACCTTCAACTACAGCTGAATCAGTACAAGTTAATAGCTTCTTAATAAGCGCCCTCCTTCCAATAAGCGTCCCTTCTCTCAGCCGAAATTTGAAATAAGCGTTCAGGCGATTGTTCGAGGAAGTGCTTTGTATAAAATTGGCAAATTTGGTTTGACGGAAGGGATTTATTATTGAAAATCAATAGGAACTCGCGATGTAACTGGTCAAGATAAAGTTTTTTGATACAAATATTACGTTTTCGGGAGCCCATTAAAATGGGCTCCTGACATTTTCAAATAATTCAAGACTTCTCTGAATTTATGGATTAACACACCCCCCTCACCCACTGCTGCGAAAATAAGTAATTTGAGACTGCATTAGGGGTCATCTTCAATTTTACAAGCCACCTCCTCCTCCGTGAGAAATTTTATTGCCGCCATTTTCGATATTACGATTACAAACCCATCAATACAGCTTTTGTTTTGTACAAAGAAAATAAGGCAACATCATCAAATGCTTACCAAAGATTAAATACTGAATTTTAGAAAAACTGAAACTTTCAGACCTTGGTCTATTGATCTGTGTTCATTGCCTGGTACGTGGGTTGTTATGTTTATATATAGATAAATATGCCCAGCGTGAAAAACTTCTGATTGGTCCAAGCGAATTCAGTATATCACACAGTGCGACGTATCCGCGCAGTCTGCGTCGTAAAGAATTTTGTCATCTGGGTGGAAAAATTCTGTTTTTCTGTTATTGTGCTTACGGAAATAACCAAGGAGTTCATTATGGCAGTTTTCGACAAAAACAGATGATTCCAGAGGCATTAGGCTGATCGTTTTAAAACCTAATCCAAACTTTAATGTTTAATTTCAATTTCCTTAGCGCGACAAAGTGACTTAAAAACGGCAAACAACACGAGAAGTTGGTACAAAAACTGTCCCGTTGTGAATTTGATGAGAGAAATAGGACAAGGAGAAACATCTCCAAACTCTTAAGAGAAAACTGCGGTAGTACTTAGGTAATTTGAACTATCTGCTAGCCCAGAACCGAGTGTTTGGATAGTCACAAATACCATATCATGCGGCAACGGACACTCGAGCAGGTAATATGAGGCAAATCGTTGTCATTTTTCTGGCATCGCAGAAATGCACCAATATTTGGCATGAGCGGTTTTTGCCAGTGATGATGCGGATGCGGCATGTTGAAATGGAAGAACTGGTGAAGCGTGCGCCCTGTCATTTCAGTGGCTGATGCGAGGCCTTTTATCCTTTGAGAAAAGGTGATATGTGCTAACTTCCTGTGACTGAAACAAAGGGTGCAGCAGGAGTTGAAAGGAACGTAGGTTAGCGCTGAAACTATACATCTTTGACCAATTTTGTGCTTGACTTACCAAATTCAGGAAAATCCTACTCCAAAATTTACAGGCATTTGTTACTGGATTTTGCATGTATTTTCAGACAGCGGAATTAGTGACAAGAAGACCCACACTCTAACTTAGTGAAGGTTTTCCTTGAATATGTTGTCAACGAACTAAACCTCTTATGGCTGCACCACATGTCACATTGGATGTATATTCCGAAGACATTTCGTTCTCAAACTGGTCTGTGGATATTACCCAGTAATTAAATACAGTATGATGTAATAAAGTATCTTTCAGCCGACATTGGGCTATTTTAGACACCATAATCCACGAATCACAGCTTAGGCGCCGTTACACTTTACTTACAGAGAGTCGCTCTCTAATTCGAAAGCACGCTCTTCCAAACCTCGTAATCTCTGGTACAAACCTCATGTAAGAAACACCGTTCAGTCCTTCTCTTACAATGATTTAGGTTGCGTTTCTATTAGCCAATCTAAATCCTGATTTTCCGATCCACATACAGTTTTCTGCTTCATCAAGGAGAAAACAAGTTTAAGACTACAATCGGAACGATCTCCCTCCGAACTTGGATCGCACGGGTCGGTATATCACTTTGGATCCCGATTACGTGGTGGACACTAGCGATTAACATGGCGGTTCAAAAAATGAAAAATGAGCAACTGTCATTTTCAAGTCAGCCCAAGTTCTTGAACACTGCTGTGCTCCTCTTGAAGTTTTTAAGATTATGGAAGTTGAACTTGAATGTTAAGAATAAAACGAAGAAGTTGGAAATTCGCCCAGTTAAGACCGTAAACAGCATTTAATTTTTTTGCACGGCGTAAGCATCCGTCCGAACTGCAACATTTCTGTGAGTTTTCTTGAGCTTCTCAAGCATCGTAAAAATGAGCAAGTCATCCATTTTCATGATGTTTTCCCTGGTTTCTGTTTTCTCTAACAAGTTCTTCCAGAATAGAGTGAAAGGCTGAAGGTAATCTAAAAAAACCGCTATCTTGCTTTATTCCTGTCATTCAAAAGATCATGTCCAGGCTGTTTGCTGTTCGGATCAAACAATCCAAACAATCCAAACAAAAAAAAAATCCAAACAAGAAAATCCAAAACAATCCGGTTAGTCCAAATCCAAAAAAGCACTGATGGTCATGACGTGACGGCCTAGGTGATGTGCCAAGTTATTCCGGATGTGTGTTGGGGGCGAATTCCGGTAACTTCCATTGAAAATAAGGATTTGCTTCTGATTTAAAGTTGCTACTGTTTGATATTCCTTCCAAAGACCTGAAGTAATTTTGATATTTGAAATTTTTTTAGAAAACCTTCAAATGTCTGTCTAGATTTGGAATACGTGGTTAGTCTTTACGCAAATTCTCTTGCAGAATCAAAAATTGCAGTTGTGGTGGTAACCAGCCATTAACAATAATCATTTCCCTCTGTGCAGCTCTTTGTTCCACTGTACCAAAGTCCTCTAAATCCCCAAGTTCATTCCAGATTCCAGACTGTTGTCTCTTGAGGCCAGGATGCTAAAGCCTTGGTCAGTTTGATTACTGTGTGTCGCTCAAAGCGAGTAAGGAAGGCATATCATAAAAACAAAAAGGCTTCAGGTTGTTAAAAAAAAACCAGACAAACAAACAAAAAGAGCCAAAAGGGCCAGCAACGCCACCAGAGAACTAACCGTAAACACGTCACGTTGGTCGGTGTTGGGCTAAGACGATGTTGGGGACGAACGGAGTCCAAAGCCAACAGTGTTGTCCTTTTAACGAAAAGTTTACACTTGAGTAGTTCATGCCTTTTCTTTGGATGGAAGTTTATTGGATGACTTGGACAAAGCGTAGTTATATCGTCTGGTATCAATGGAAAGTCTCAAAAGTTTCTGAGGAAAAGTTACATGCATGTCCGTGCAACATGTGCATCAGGTAAGCATGCATGTTGAAATTTTCGCACAACATTACAATGAGGAAGCTAACCCCTTGAGATTTAAATGAGAAAATGATAGGTCATTTCCTTTGATTTATCGTGCAGGTGAATTTGAAGTATCGAAGAGCAAAGTGATTGAAATAAAATCGTTCCAATCAATGCATTATAGGACTTGTCATCTCAGCTGGGAATGCTAACGAACTTACATGTGCCTGAAAGTTATTTGCAAAATCTGGGGCTTGTTCACCGTGAACAAAGAGAGTTTGAATGAGGAGCAGGGTGGAAAATGGTTCCAGATTCATTGGTGTTAAGGGTATTACAAAGGCTCCTGCCCAAGTTTGGCATGGAGATTTAATGTGCCAAATGGCTGTGATGATGAAAAATGAGTGGTTGTCATTTCATCAAGCACTCAAGGATGAATTTTGTTGGGAACCTAAAGGCTCATAAATTTACAAAAACACTGACCAAGAATGTCACCAAAAGAGATACCCTGGGACGGTGTTACATCTGAACCTGGAGCTTTTAATGAACAGAAGACCAAGAGTTAGAATATGGCAAAGTAGACCAAGAAAATACTTTGTATATATGCATACATAGATAGACAATATTTATTTGTTAATCCTTCACCTTGCAACCAGGGGCTAGGTGAGCCAAACTTGCATTAATTCTGCAAGTGTCTCTATAGTAATTTGATATCATCTTTTCAATCCTTAATTATCTTTTAAGAATGCTTTGCTGGAGGAATTCGAGGAAGGAGTGCACCTAATGAGTAGTCATTGTGGTTCCTCCTCCTTTGGGTTTGTTCTATAAACCTGTTTGGAGTCTGAAGCATAACTGTTTTAGTTACATGTACCATGTTAATGATTCAGGTTCCCCAAATATTAATATGGCTGGTGATCTTGATTCTGATTCACAGACATTTATTCAATGTCAATACCTTATGACTATCATTAACATCACTGTCTTGAAGTAAAAGGAGAAGAGAAAAAAAATGTCTTGGATCATACCATGATGACCTGAGTGTTTTATCAGTCCCTTCTGTTGACTACAGCAAGAAAGCAGGTGTGGGAGAAAAAGTTGCCATTCTGGATCAGTGTAAGAAGCTGAGCTAAAAGCATGATAATTAAGCTGCTACATGAAATACCTATATATATCAGTCTTTTGGTCAGCTGGCAGTTCATATATTTTCTCTCAGGTGAGAAGTTAACAGTTTACTGTCTTTGTAAAGCAGAGAGAATACACTTTACAACTAGGGAGAAAAATTGGGAATTTAAGATGTTGTGCATGCATTCTTCCTATGATGATCGTACTGCCTGGTAATAAAAGTTTGGTTTCTTCCCTAACAACATCAAGTTTTGTTAACCTTTTCCACCCTTACATCAGTATGCATCTTCTCCATACTGTTCCCTATACATTCCCTAAGGTGCTGATGAGGAGAATTTGTTTCATAATCCAGAGCTTCTCTAAATGGTGACCATTTCCTTTATTCTCATTACCTTAATATGTGATTTGGGGCTGATATTGTGATGAGAAATTAAATGCCAGTCACTCTTAGAGGTTAAAGGGTTAAGACCATCAAAATGACTGCCACCTACATGTATCTTTAGAGGTATTCAATTTCAAAGTTTTCTTTGACTTGTAGACTTGATATTCTTTGCTAGGAGTGAAATTTAGCCAATTTAAATAAACTAGCTGATTTAATGACTGCCTAAGACTTATGTTGCATTTTGTTGAATTGTGTATAGCTGAGTGGTAAAGTTGCATCTTGCCTCTAAGCCAGCTTGTGTATCAATTCCCTTTTACCTAAACAGTAACCCAAACAACGCTACTTTTTGTTATATTTGCAGTTTTTTGTCCTGGCAGTTATGGAACAAAAATCAAGGTAAAAATTATGTAAACCACTGTTTTTACCTGGAAATCTGAAATAAATCTAATTAAACATGATTCAGAGGGCATGTTTTATATTACAAACATAATATAACAAAAAGGCAGAAAGCTTCTTGTTTTGTAAAAATGAGTGTAATCCATTCATTTTTTTTCTGACAGTGAATGTTCTTTATTCCTGTCATGTCATGAAGGATTTGACGACATGGAGTAAAATGACGGACAGTTTGCGATTTATCAATATGCATTACCCAACCATGGGGTAATAATATTGGTCACAAGTGATATTAAACTTTCATGCATACTTACTTAAGGGCTTCTTTGTTATTCAATTCAAAATAAGAAGGTGGCCAATGCAAGTAATTGTTGGAATAAGAAACTTAATGGCTGTCTTTAGTCACTGGAAATGATGGTGGAGACTTATAATTTTTATTTTGTATCATAATATTGGTTTAAATAAAAAATAATGGTGTAAAAGATATTTTCACCCCAAGAAAATTGAAATACAAATTTTGCACCAATCTATGTGTTGTTGGTTTTATTATTATTATAATTTGGTTTGAATGCACATGTGGTTTTCTTCTCTTTGTGAGGAGATTAGAAAAATTTTGAGTCTACTAGCTTGAGAATTAGTGCTATGTTTTGATTTGCTATTTTCATTTTATATGCTGTATGTATTATTATGTTCAGCAGGAAGTTACAATCAAACCAATAATGTTTCTCTTGATTATTTAGTAGGGGCTTTTTCTTAAGGAATAATATGATGATATTAATGCTAATGAGGGTGCCTGGTAATTTTGTCCAACAGATGGCTACAGAGTTCAATGATTGATTTGAACTGAAATATGCCTAAGGTATCTCAGCTCACTTCCTATTTAGCTTCAGTCTCAAATCAACAACTTGCATCTATTTTTGTTACCTCGAAAGCTACTGGTGCATATGTGCATACCTTTCTCTTTAAAAATGCAGTAAGGATTTAAAGAAACAGAATTCTATTTCCCTTATGTATCTGGTGTTATTTAATAATCCTTTATGAATCAATGTGGCTTTTTTATTTTAGGAACTGAGGCATCCTCATGAACATCATCATGAATTCAACAAGAGTTTGATTTATGTGTAGTTGAAACCTTTATTGTGAGACCGCCAGCTCAATTGTATGCTGTTATTTGCTATGGAAAATGAATGATTAATAAAGAGTTAATCAATTTCATTGACCAGGAACAGTCTTGGTAGCCATTGATTCCTTCTATCTTTCGTAACTTTTAACAAAATTTTAATCTCAAGGGCTTCATTATGGAATTGTTTGTGCTGTTCTCAATAAGTATTTCATAAATTAGGCTTTCCTAAAGTGCCAGCGTGTAGCAGTCAAATCATGTAACAAAATTCTCAATGTAATCAACAAAAATCATTAACATGAGCACATTGTTGGAATGCACAATGCTTTTTTTTCTTTTTTTTTAACTCAATTACTCCCTGAGTGATTGATACACAACTTCTCCATACAATTTCAAACCGTTCACAGAAGCTCACAAGAAGTGAAAATGCGACATACGGGAATTTCCAGCAGGAATACTGATATACCACCAAAATAAATAAGTGGAAATTGTGGTAAGGAAGTAATTTAGTACATCATTAGTAGTTTGTGAATGGGTTAACTAGGGGGTTCAGTTATGATGAGACATAGACAGGAAAGAAAGTACAGTATCACAATAAATTGCTTTGACATTAGCATTTCTGAGGTGTATGAGCTAATCCATTCAAAATGCACATGTATGTACCCTGTCAAGCGAGGTTCTCTTGACTCTGTACATGTGTGTGGCTCCCAACAGTTTGCACAGCTTTTCCTTGGTGATGTATATGGAATCAGTGAACTGATTTGAAAGATTGGTGTTGAGGTGGACACCATTTTAAAAGATACAGGAAAAGCTTTTGACCCTCTCTTTATTGTCTGCCAAGGGACCACAACATCGTGAGAGGTGGGCTGTCTTATACCTCTCCAGCAAACCAGTGAAAATTAGGTTTGGAAACAAAATTGCTTTTTTAGAAAGTGAAAATGTTAAGGCATTGTAAAATGAATGGTGGGTAAATTTAGTAGAATTCAATTAGTGTTATATTTGCGACAAACCTTGTTTTGAGATGGATTGATTGAATAAAGATATTGAAAAAATTTTATCTTTCTTTGTATATGGATTTGAGTGAGTTTGATAATGATCACCTGTGTGATAGTCGAATTAGCGATGCTTCACATTTGGAGCCAAAATTGTACTAATTAACTGCGTTCTCAGATGTAATGCGTAGCTAAGTTAATTAAATGCTGATACGCTGAAAGTGGTCTAGTCTTAAAATAGTGAAACAACTTTCAGAGAAGTGTAATCTTTCTAGTAACAGGACTAAGGGTGGATCCGGATGACAAAAAGCGATAGACATAACAGGAGCGTGCACTTTAAGCTGACACGTAAGATCAGATATTGTTTTTTCTCAAAGCGTAAGCGGGGAGTATTCTACAAATCGTGCGATTTGATTGGTACCGAGAGTGGACAGTATTCTCCCGTCTGGCCCGCTCACAGCGGGAGGTATCCGATCCGTTGCGTGTTGAGTCGCCTTGTGCGCCAAGCAGCTTTTATAAGCAAATGTTTTCTTCACGAAGTTTAGCCGATATATAATTTATTAATTATCTCTCTCTCTCTCTCTCTCTCTCTCTCTCTCTCTCTTCTCTCTCTCTCTCTCTCTCTCTCTCTCTCTCTCTGCTTTCCTATAAAATTGTGTGTTATTAAAAGGGTTAGCACGCGGCCTGAAAACCACGATCTAATAAACCTTCTCAAAAAGCAACTTAGAAAGTAAAATCGTGAGGTACTTTTTCACAATTAGAATCGATCAAATTTACTACCTGAGTTCTCCAAAAAAATTTGCACGTTGTAAAACGCGATTTTTTTCTAGTTTCTAAGACCTACTACTAAATAAACGTTCGTTAAGTCTTTGCAATTAATTTGCATTTGGACATCTCTGTAATAAATTGCACAACAGAAGCCGAAGGCATGGCATGAGTAAACGCAGCATTAAATTCCCTTGTGTCTGAATAAAGTGTCTCATTTTGCTTCAGTCTTTCTGTGGAAAAAAAACAACTTTATACACGCAGATGCAGCAAAGAAACGAGCAGACTCTCACAACTTCAAACATATATTTGAATTTACTTATAATGACTTTCTTTGCCATTTAAAATTGAACAGAGGTAAATCTTCGTGGGTTAATCGCCGTAAAATCACTAAATGTTCTTGAAGAAAACATCGTTTAGATAGTCATGTTTCAAAAATTGCTTGAAAGCCTTTTAAATTCCTTTATCTCTACTCGCAAATGAAAATGTTTCGGTGAAGCCTTTCTCTTTGATTTTGCGTCACCTCTATCTTCTATACTATCCACTCACTAAAACATTTTTCAGTTTATGAGGGATCTCGCCGTAATAATAGCCCTAAATCATTCGAGCTCTTTAAGCAAGCATTCGATTAAGTGTTTGGAAAAAACAAAAATGCTATTCGCCAGCTTAGGTTGGTCCGTTTTATATATATTAAATAAATTAACGATTATATTTAAAAAAAATCTTGTGACGACTTTTCCAAGTAAACTAGACGAAATACGGAGTCACGTAATGATAAATGCGCCAGAAACCAAATTTATTACCCATAGCTTATAGAAGGCATCCATTGCACAAAATAAATTGAAAACATTTAAATAACCAAATTGCATACTAGTAATATAATCGTATGCTGAAGAAGTGAGAATACTGTGGAAGGTTTTCGAACCATCTTTTTTCACGTACTGTGTTTTTCATCAACACCATTAGTTTCTTCAAAGCGTAACCTCGGGTGAGCAGTTTTGACAAGATTTTCATGTCGTAACTGAACCCTGATAACGACTCCTCCAGTTGGCGAAAAAACTACTGAAATCATAAGATAAGGTGGCAAAAAGTCTTGGTTCACTTTTACTTACCTGGTTGCCTAAACTTTGCCTTCCCTACCCACCCTCGACGCAAGGTTGAGTTTGATTTTGAGGCCAGCTTCTAGTCCTCGTTTGGCGAGTGGTGCGGTTTGTGAAGAGGGGAAGGGGGTGTGTACAAGTAGGTGTTTTCTTGCTCGCCACGAACTTTGTTTTCTCCACCGGTTGTATATTTTTTTAATTTGAAAGTTATGGAATTCCACGGGAGACTGTTTCATTCCTTCCCCTGAATGAATGTTACAGCAGTAATAAAGATTTATGTTGGTTGGTGCTAACAGTTTTAAGAGGTAACTATTCTTGTTGAAAACTCCCGGGGTTAAGTTCTGTAACTGATTATTGGACAAGTCCCTGTCAACAAGACATCATTACATCAGATAGTTAGATTAGATGATACTTGTGTAACTATGCAAGACTGTTAACGGGAGGAAGTCTTGTTTTATTGCGTTTTAAGCACTCCCCCCCCCCCCGTCCAGTTAGATTAGATGATACTTATGTAACTATGTAAGACTGTTAAAGGGAGAAAGTTTTGTTTTATTGCGTTTTAAGCACTCCCCCGCCCCCCTCGAATAAATCCGGCTCCCCTTCCCTCCCCCAGCCCCAACTCCTTTACCTTCACTTTCTCAGATAGGAAGAAGACCTGTTTCTTTGCCTCTTCATCTACAACTTTTAAGCTTCGCCTACAGCCGAATCAGTAAAAATTAAAAGTTTTTAATAAGCGTTCCCTTGATTAAGCACCCTCCTTCCAATAAGCACCACTCCTTTCAGCTGAAATTTTAAATAGGCGCCTGGGTTGGTTGAAAAAGTTTGATGAAAGGTTTTTTCTTAAAAATCAAGTGAGACTCGCGATGCAAATGGTCAAGATAAAATTCTTTGATACAAATATTACATTCACAAATTATCCAAGACTTCTCTGAATTTGTGGAAAAACACAGATTTTTATGTCATCGTGCAGGATGTGGATAAGCAAGCATTCGTTAAGGTCACTACACTAACTTCCTGATTAAGAAGGCTATATCAATTCTTTTTTGTCTATTTTTTTACATATATGTATATATATTCATTTGGGTGTCTTTTTTTGTTGGTTTATGCAATGCACACTCTGCCGTTTAGGCTCTACTTGTTGCTACCTTTAATGCCCCTCTCCAGTACGGTGGTCGGTACTGAAAGACGTGTCCTTTGAGTACTTTTGCTTTAGCGCCAAGATTCTGTTGGGTGTCTTTCTCTCCCCAAAGGCATATAATCAAGATTTTGTTCTTTAAATTTGTCCACATCAAGTCTAGGTTTTTCAAACATATAAACGATTATCCTGGCAGCTTTTTGCCCAACAACTTTTATTCATCTATTCATTTTTTTTTTCCTTTTTGCGATGTGTCAGGGAAGAGGGCAAAGGGCAAGTTCCTCGCGTGTGCTACTCGCACTCGCCTGGAAAGCAGACATAAAAATACACGATGCATAAATCACTGTTTTGCACTACAGTCCACTCTTCCTCGAATTCAAGCGGCGTGATCTCCTCAATTTTTGTCCGGGTTATTCACACAAACATAAAAAGCCCGACTTCAAAATGTCTCGACGAATTACTCTTATTGAAATTGGCAGTACAGTATACACGCTACCTAAGTGAGACTGATGGCATGACCTGGCTCATCATCCAAAAATTAATCAGCCTTTCATAACACTAAGTCGTCCTCAAAGCAGCAAAGAGAGTCCTAAGGCTCACAACATTAGGTGATATTATTTCGCACGGAACCTCCAATGTTACTCCTTGTTAGAATTCTGGAGCCTTTCTCAGTGCTTTAGGAAGCCATTATATCATTATGAACGAACCAATCTCATCGTCCCCTTCTCTGTC